ACTTCGTATCTGCTCAAATACGCATAACAGAATGTATCGAGCAATAATGTTTCATTGCATCAACTCAACTATCTTGCTATTTGGACGGTGAATTCTGCTGAAAATATTGTGAAACGGTTTGGCGACAATAATTGGAATATTTATAAAAGTTTGTACGCGTCTCTGCTATCTTCAAGTCACATGTAAACAAATCTTCTCGCAGAACCTGATTTCCTCCTTTATGAATACAAAAGTATGCTATTCTATGGTGCATGTATAATATCCAAAGGTATGAGGGCATTGTCTGTACGTCTATATCAATTTCTTGATTAATATGTATGGACGTACAGACAATGCCCTTATACCTTCAGGTGTTATGCAATGCACCACTAGAGTTCCAAACGAGACGCAAATTAGTCAACCGGGTTACTCGCATAATTTTAAAATACGGTTGCAATGTATTTGTCAGAAAAAAGATTGTCAATATCGATATTATAAAATTGTATAAAGTTCATATTATTGCGAATATACTTGTCGGCAAAACTATTCGTCCAAATCTCAGGTCCAATTTAATTATTATATTTCTATATTTGGGATTAAGATTTGGGACAATTTTACATTACTATTAGCGTTCATTTCTCTTGGTCGTCTTTCTCCCTACTAATTCTACTTTCTTCACCATCAATAGAATGTATTGTAGTTAACATGGCTACAGTTCCGTTATCTATCAAAAGCAATAACTGTGACATGGCAGTTCAAGTAATTCTAATTTTACTTTACTATTTTGGCAGTGCAATGCCAAAACATCATCTACTACAACTCTCTTTAAAAAATCCCATTCTAAATTTTTTTCTTTTTTTCTTCTTCAGAACGTTTGGGATATGGAACTTGGATGAGATTTTAAAAGTTTAAAGTTTGGAAGTGTTTATGGTCTTGTTTATAAAATAGTCTATTTTTTAGAAATAATGTAAAATAAAAAAATAAATGATTACATCACCGAAAAATTGAACAAGGATAAGATGAAGTTCACAACAGGCGTCCACTGTAAAACCCTAACCACAACTCACAAGTTGCGGCACCGATGTGCTTTCGAATTTCTTCGATTATAGCCAGAGTCGCAAAACGAATATATACAATTCAACAATTATCCAGTCATGATATATTATGTTTATTCGCATTATTTCAATCTTTTATCGGTACTTTTTTGAGTAACAAACCGAAAATACCGAAAACGAAAATGTACTAAGTGTAAAGTGCGAAAAATGAAGTGTAAAAAATACGAAATTCAAAAATAAAAAAAAGGTTCTATCGCTATATATACTTTTTTTATCGGTGTTTTTGATCTTAATCACGCTGATATAGTCAAAAAGACCTAGCCAATTTTGTCACGACAAATTCTCGATTTTGATAACTGATCTAGCGTTGACAACCTAAAAAATTTCGCGTTAGATTAGGGTTAGGTTTTACTATTAAGTTAGATTAGAAAGAGCTTTAGTTGTACCAAAATTTTTGAATAACGGTAATTTGGTTCAACCGGGCAAATGAACACGTGCCGCTTCGCGGCAAGTGTCAGCCAATCATTTGCCCGGTTGAGCCAAATTTCTGTTATTCAAAAATTGCCGAATAAGGTGTTATCCGACAATTTATGATCCTGAGTTTTAATTCGAGTAAACGTGAATATTTCACAAGAAATGTTGAGTCATGAGTAGGGTTGGGGCACGGGGTTAAGAGGCATGCCTAGGGCATGCCCTTTGACCAAAAGGCATGCCTCTATCATGTGATATAGGGCTATTATAT